CTTTATCATCATCCTTTTCAACTCCAATTCCATTTTGATAACAATACCCAACATCAAATGTTCCACCAGCATGCCCCATATCAGCAGATTTTAGATAGTATTCAAAAGCTTTACGCAAGTCCTTTTCAACACCATTACCGTACCAGTATTGCTCGCCCTTGTCATAAAGTTCAGTGGCAGTTTGGTTCATGATTAAAAGATGACAAAAAGAAATATTTTTAACTTAACGCCAAACATTAATATAGCATTATTTAATTACATGAATGTTGAATGTTGAACAATGATTTTCCATAAAATCAACCTTAATTCTTTATTAGGATTTCACAAGTGAACACTTGTGTTCATAGTTGCTGATCTTATAAACTTTAAGTTTATACGTAGAAAAATTATTGATTTATACAACATAATAGTATTTGAGATCCAGATGAAAAATTTTAATTCAGATAACGTAATATCGGTCAACAAATATGTCCCCTGATCTGCAATATATAATAAAATCTAAATTAATAGCAATATAATCTTGTACCACTATTATATATATTTATTCATCCCGTACTAGCAACTGTTAATTTCTAAAAATATGTATTTTGGTTTTATTTATTTAATTTTCTAAAAAAATTTATATTGTGTTCTTTTTTTACGAAAATAAAGAGTAAATTATTCTTTCATGATTCTTTAAAACAAAGAAATGCTTTTATGTAAAATTAGCTAAAAACAAAATCTCAGCTATTAATTTTTTTAATAAGTTTTTTAGTTTTTTCTAATTTGGGTTTATTTTAAATTTATCATTATGGTTATACTACGTATGTAGTGCTAGAATTTGTATACATATTTGGCAGTAAAAAAAATTTAAATACCAGCATTATCATTATCTAATGCTAATGAATGCTAGTCTATTAAAATTTCACTTAATCATATTATCATTATTGTTATCATTATTGTTATCGTTATTGCAAAAAATACAATCCTAGATTAAATTCTTAAATGCAACTATTGATATCTTTATTTCACTTGTTTATCCTGAATATTATTTTTAGAATGTTGCATATTTTGATCCCAGGTTTCAAATATTACCATATAGCACAGACCATAGTACCCTCCTCAAAAAAAATACCTGGTGAATATATCCCATAAAAAACTTTTCAAATGAAAAATTATCAAGTATAATACCTGACCATCTCAATAATAATTGGTAGAATTAAGATAATACATGATCTAAAGTCTCTATCATTAAAAAAAAAGGTTTAGTTATTATCTTTAAAAAGATGTGAAACATCTTTTGCTTGAAATTTTCCAGAGATTTACATCAAAACTATATATATCAATCTTTTTATGATTAAGGTTATATGCATAATAAACATTAATTAAAGTTATAACTATAAAAGAATAAATTTATATATATTAAAAATTTTGATTATTAAAAATATTTATAATTGTACATGTGACATGATAAACTTACAAAATCTCAGTGAATATTTATATTATGTATTCAGCCTTTTGAATATCATTAAATATTTATAATTATCATTATTGTCATTATTATTTGTTATAAAATAATCACTATCTGTTATGCATCCCTAACCTATATATAACCATCATGACTAACTATTTTTTTTGTTATATCTATATAGCATTTTTCATATCATATAATTTTATAATAATTAATGAACAAATGTTCTTATATTCAATTTTTCAATGCCACTCAGTGACCAAGTTCATTTTTGCTTATTTTATCAATATTTTTCACCTTTGCTAAATCATTAAACTTTAATGTTCATTTTTGATTAATCTATTTTGATAAGTTACTTATAATTATTCTTATTGATTTCTAATTTATTCTATAGCAATGCTAAGGTTTCAAATTTTTTATATCAACAGGTTTTTGATAATAAATAAATAGATGTTTATTCTTTTTCAACTTCATTTTTGCAATAGTAATGATCAAAATATTTATTATACTGTTATTTCTTATTTTTACTGATTTGATAATCAATAAAACCTTATGCTACTCTTTGAATTAATAAACTTTTTATAAAGAAAGAATGTTCATACTTACTTTATAGTCTTTTTTATTAAATTGTTTTTCTTTATTTGTTGATACAATTGTTTTTCCAATATGTTTGAATATATTGCATATCCCAATTATTATTACAATGCTAAAGCTTTCTTAAGATTTCAATAGCTATATCTTCAGATAAAGAATCAAAAGAAAGTATATTTTTAAGTATTACTTTTTTACTATTTGTTGTATGTCTATGTTGATGTTTTATACATTGATTATTTTTATTAGATTGTTGTCTCACATTGTTACTTCTAATCTAATTACTTTGTGATTGTTAAACTTGATTTTTTGTTAATAACAGAGTTATTAATTTGGTACTACAATTTTTTTTTTTAACATTCTCTTGTGTTTTGCTTATCAGTTTTGTAAATATCTTGGTATAAAATTGTCTTAAGCCAAACTATACTCTTTTTATAACAAGTTAGTATATTATAAAATCCAATATTACTTATTTCTTGTGTTCTTGTAAATAATTTATATGTTTTGGGATCAGTTGATGAAAATGCATTAAGCAATTTATCTGACAGTTTTTATAAACTTTCATTTTGTGGTTGTGCAGTTTGATTATTCTTAGCTGTAATAATAGTTTCATTTAGATATTCTAAAATAAACATCTTTAATCTTTCTATTTTAGCTTGTATTAAGACTATTTACAATTTTAATTCTTCAGAATTCATAGTTTTTCTTTTAATATTCTGTTTTATAGACAAAATTTTAACATGTTCAAGTGCCTCATCAAATGCAAGAAAGTGTCCTAGACATATAATATTTACAGAACTTACAATATGTAATAATTTCTGAAGATGTTGATTATTATTAATATAATAAAGAAAATGCATTATAGATCTAGTATAATTAACTTTTCTTACAATAAGAAAAAGAGGAGAAAATACTGCAAGGTTTTTGATTTGTATTTTATAATTGTTATGACAAATATCAATTTAGTACCCAATCCAATATCTGATCCAACAAAAAAAATAACACCAGGTTCTTAAAACATAATTTTCACAATTTTTAATATTATTAATAGATTGATTGGTATTATTTAAGTATTTAAAAATAACAATTCCTATAGTAACCCAAATTAATTCTAGAACTCAACATATGGCTTAGTAATCTACAATCTTTTCTAATTTATTAAAAAAGTGAACACCAAGCTTTGCTGCCATGTCAGCTATGGCATATCCTGAAAAAAATGTTTATAAGTGCATTATATAAACAAAAGTAAGTATATCATTGACCCAAGAGAAGTTTTATTACTTTGTCTTTGTTTTTTTTCTTATATGAAATCAATTGGTGATAGATTGCCTGATTACATACAATATTTAGACATCCAGTATTTGTTATTTTAACATTTTTATAATATAAATTATATGCCTTATAAATATTTTCATTACAATTTAAATTATCACTTGACTTAAGAATTATAATATTAGATGATTCTATTTTATATCTGATTGGTACTTTCTTTAAGATCACTTTTAAAATATTATCTACTTCTCAATTGTTATTATTTGTATTCAGAAATTTTTGAAAAATTGTCTTATATAAAAAAAGAAGATTATTAGTAAAATCAGAAGTAGTAAATAAAGACTAATTTAAAAAATTATAATTGTTATTTTGATTGTAATGTTTTACTGATTTTAGCATAACAAATTGGAATATCATTCTCAAAGTCATATGTGTTGTTTTTACAAGTCACATCATAGATATTTCTATATATAAATGTTTGTTCAAAAAAATCTAAATTATTAATAACTAAAAGATTCTATATATTAGTGTTTTGTAACAATCTTTCCTCTGGTTTTGTTTTATACAAATGAGTTTTTTTAAAAAGTTTTTCATGTTGTTAGATATGAGATATCACATTAGCAATGCATAGAATATTATATAAACAGTGATGCAATTTTGGCTTTCTACAAAGTGAATTCATAATATAAGTAAGCTATATGTTTGTTTCTGAAAATGCTATATTTAAAATTATAAAAATAATGAATATAATTATTTTAGTTACATAACTTATATTAAAAACTTTTAATTGAAGCTTCTTTGTTTTCTTTTTTTTGTTACTATCACATGTTTTTTTCTTTGCAATGTATCTATAAACCTGTTAAAAAACTTTAATAAGAATTAAGAAAACTCTTTCTAATATTGTGCTAATAATATAGAACTCTTAAGCTTTAATTTATTTTTTTGTACATTATTTCATATATTTCATGTTGCAGCTTCTAGTATTTTTCCAAAATCAACAGTTGTTTCTGTAGTAATGGTATATTTTTTTTCAACAATCTTTTTTAAATGAATATATCACAATTTTAAGGCTGTCTTAACAAAAAAAAGACTAGAAGGACTTACAGATTCTTTGTAAGATTTTGTATTAAAAAATATTTGTAAAACTAAAACCAGACTTACTAAAAGATTTTTTTTTATTATCAATGGTCTCTACTATATATAAAATCCAATAACCTAAAATTTTAAGTAATTTATTTGTATTATTACTATACATATCTGCATATTTGAAAGGTTCATTTTCATGATCTTGTTTCTTATAAAAATGTCTTCTATGAGTAGCAAAGCATTTAGAACAAATATACTGAGGCTTATATTTAGTTTCTAGATTATTATTAAATATTTTTGGTTCAACTTTTTTTTTGAATATAGGATATACCATAAGCCCAACACAGGATATTTGAATGTTTTTTTCAAATATATAGTTTGAATATTACACATATGTTTTATCTCTACTAAAAAAAATATTTGAACTTATTATAAAACAAACAATATTAACAAAAAACCCAACTCTTCTTAATTGATTACTCTTGTTTAGTACTTCAAGCATGTAGCTGGTTTTGATTAAATTAAAATGAGTCTGGCAAACACTTATCATCAACAGCTTGTTCATATTCTGTACCTAAAAAAAAATTGGTTTGTTAATTTCCTATAAACTAACAAGTTGAATAAGCTGTCTTGATGATTCAGCTAAACAGAATTGAATACAGTCATCATTAATATCTATAATCAGATATGATGTTAATATTTTGTTAGTATCTTTTTTTAATGCTAAGTTTTCAATTAAGTATTCATTCTCATTTGAATCAAATTCTAATAATGTTGTATTATTACTATTTGCATCAATATCATTATTATCTATATCATTTAAAAAAATAAGATTACTGGTTTCCTTCTCTTCTACCAAAGTCTGTGTCTTTTCAAAACTGATTTTATCAAAAAGAAAGGAACTAATTTCTACATCAACATCTAAATTATTGTCAATACTTCTTGTTTTAATTCTATCAGATATAAGACTTTCACTTGCTAATCTCATGCTTTCAATGTCTTCTATATCATTTTCTGGTACATATTCGAAGTTGTTAATTAAATCACTAAGAAAATTTTTATTATTGTCTGCTTCTGAAGTCATACTAGTATTTTTAAGAAAAAATAAAATCAAAGTTCAATGAAAACTTAAATGTTATATTAATGCGAGAGTTTATGTAACTTTGAGTGAAGATTCTTTAAGAACCAGAAGTGTTACAACATTTAAAATGGAACAGTTAAACTAAAAGTATATTAAGAGCTATTTAGTTTAATAACATGTAACAAAATACTTTGTTTTAAGAATGTTTTAATAGGAAAAGATTTTCAAAAAAATGATTTTTTCATAAAAAAATGTATAAATTTCAATAGTTAAATAATCGTCAATCCCTTAATCGATACAGTTGCACAAGGATTAAGGGGACATATTTGTTGACCGATATAGTAAAATTGGCATTTTTTAAGCAAATCCCAAAAATTATGAAAATTATTTTGTTGTGCAATTACTTGGATTTAATTGGATTTAATTAGATTTACTTCCAATTAAGGCTTAAACGGTATTGAATACACTTGGAGGCTTAACAGTTATGAATAATATAGAATTTTCAAAAAGAATTTATTAGAAAAATACAAAGTAAAACGATAGTTAAGATGAGTCATTCCAAAGATGTTGATAAAAGTATAGAAAAAAGGCATTATAAATATAAGATTAACCTCTATATTAAAGTCTATAATATTTAATTATTTTGTTTGATATAATTACAGAATTATGAATATTTAAGTAATTTAGGTTGTTCTCAAGCACTTACCTCTATGTGATTGCATAATGATTGAGATGACGCATAAGCATTACGATCAATTGAAATAATGATCGTGATGATTGCTTGAGCATTTTCAATCTTACCCATTGTTACATTACTATCATTACAATACTATCGTACCAATGTTCCCAAAAAGAAAAAAAGCGATTACACTATTAGCTCCTAAAACTTTAGCTTCTAAAATGTTAGCACCTAAGTCTTTAGCTCCAAAACCTTTAGTGGCTAACCCTTTGCCTTCTGAAACTTTGCCTCTGGTCATCCATCCTTCTCCTTTATCAAATTTAACAAACAATTTATTGTTACAACAATGGCAATTCCCCACTACACAATTTCAGGTAGATTCTTTAAATGAATTAACATCTAAATATAATAAACTGGTAAAAGATTATTTTTTATAGTGCCACAAACTTTATAAACATAAAAAATAACTTTTTTTAGATTTCATTATCTCAGCTTTCTTTAAATATCTCACGTGATCAAGAAAATTCTTCGCCTCTTGATCCTATAGCTATTAATCCAAGTTCTG